TTCACTATGGGCATGTAGTTATTGATGATATTTTTATAAGAACTTTTAGTGTAACTGGTTCATATTAAAAACAAATTGAAAGTTCACTATGGGCATGTAGTTATTGATGATATTTTTATAAGAACTTTTAGTGTAACTGGTTCATATTAAAAACAAATTGAAAGTTCACTATGGGCATGTAGTTATTGATGATATTTTTATAAGAACTTTTAGTGTAACTGGTTCATATTAAAAACAAATTGAAAGTTCACTATGGGCATGTAGTTATTGATGATATTTTTTGTACACGCTTTTATACATAATCAAACAGTATTAATATGTTAACACATACATCCTCGTAAAAATTAACAAAACTGGTTTAATTAAATGGTTTACTATTCATGAAATGTGTACAAAATCACATACCACTCCCTCTAGATGTACTTTTGTATATATATAATTCTGCATATCAACAGTTTATTTACATACAGTAATGTCTTGGCTGTGTGTGAGTATAATTTTACACTACAGAAGCATTTCTTAAACAGTGGGTCTCAACCTCCAAGGGGGATTTCCCGGGTGGTCACGAGCTGTCTGCACCATTTTTTCGAGTCATCGAGGTGCACATATCACCTCTGTTATGAACTATGGCCAACTGCACCAACCATTTTTTCATCCTTGTAGAGTTAATGTGGGGGCAACTCCTGCTGAGAAGCCACTGCACTACAGTATTTGTCACCAACCAAAATGTAACACACTTAACCACCAATATTCCAATTAGTTCAGACAGATTGATTTGTGACAAACCATGAATATTGTAACGTACCCACTCTGTATTGTACCATAAAAAAACACCATTAGTATCCATAACATGTACTAACAGTAATATGACCACCGAACACCTAAATATTAAATGACAAATACAGGTGAATCATCTAATTATTAAGCAACATGTTCGTTACACACTGTTAAAAATGATATACAGCAGTTCCTAAGCCCTCCAATACCTAACTTATGATATTCTTCCACATCTGATCTTCCTTACTAAGGCAGTATTAAGTACATGAACATTTATTTCTTCAAAACTAGCTGATCTATAAAAGTGCACTAAAAACTTCTAACAACTGTTTAGCTGGAGATCTAAGGACCAATTTACTGTTCTTAAACATATATTTCTACTATTCATTTATTAACATATAGGGCTCAAAACTAACCCATTTTGGTCATTAACAAATGTTTACCAGTTACACTAAAAGTTCTTATAAAATAATATACGTTTCAGCAAATAACATCACAGGCCAGAAACCAATCTGGACAAAATTAATGTATACATTTATATAACTACCATAAATATACGAGTGTGCTAACAAAACAGTGTTTATACACAAGTGTTGTTGTCAGATGCCTGAATTACAAGTTACACCAGTTTTTTCACACGTGGATTTCCCTCTTACTGCAACCAGCTCTGTACACCACTTCTTATTAGCAATGACACATCCACAGACTTGCTTCAAACATCTAAACATTAAGTAATAAACCAACTTACAACATTAAGTAATAAATTCTCTCTGAATTTAATTAAAGATCTTTTACAATTTCTATACCTCAGACTAGGGGGGTTTAAATATTACAGCCTCAAAAGTTTGTCCTGGTGATTGAAAAGACATCCAATCATATACAAGACAACTTGTAATTCAGGCATCTGACAACAATGTAAAAAATTAAGTGTTAAAACATGTAATTTTCATAATTTGTCATATATATATATTTTTTAATTCATTCTCCTCCAAAGCACCGTACCTGAAACGACTGAGGATGTTCACGTGGACATAGATACCTGTGATGAAAGCCAAGCACAATTTCTACAAGAAGCTATGTTGAGAAATTGGGACACTGGAAACTCTACTAATGTTTCAGTTGGTAAGCCCGATTCTGATGAAAGTTAATAGGTATTATAGTATCTGTTTTATGATGGATACAAATTAACCTTTGTTCAACTTTATTTTTAACAATGTGAACAGCAAGAAATATCTAGAGTTGCTTTTTTATAGTTTCTACAAGAAACTAAAGTGTGGAGTAATTTTTCTTTTTGGAACTATATAGAAAGCAAAAACCTCAATAGTTAGAGTAGGCTTAACTATGCTATTGATACATGTCATAGTAGGAGGCTGATTACAGAAGATAATTGGGTACACAAGGTATAAAAACCTAAGATATGTAGTAAAAGAAGAAATAATTGTCCTGTTGGTTCATATGAACAGGATTTTATTCTTTAGAGAACTGTATTATTATCATATTATTAGAAACTAGCAGACAGTTATTTCATTATCCAGACTGTAGTAAAAAAAAAATTAATCTCATGTTGTGTTTTTTTTCTTCTTCTCAAAGGCACCAGTTCCTCAAAAAAGAAAGCTTTATCGTCCAACTCCAATCGTAGTGGAAGTTCCAAAAAAAAAGGTCACGTTTTCCAGGTAGTAATGTGAATACAGGGAGGGCCAGATTCTTCACTCAACTGGATAATACACAACAAGTATCGTGAACGTACTAGTGTTTTCATTTTATTACAGTCTACGATACATTCCTGCAAGTTTACCATGTAGTAATTAACGGTACTCAGTTTTTGGCACGTATGATGGATTGTTCCTAGTGGTCACTATAGGAAAATACAACTTCTTACCCATCCAGAGTATAGTAACAATGGCCAATTCCAATGTGGATTGAAAAATGTTAATATATTGCAACATATTATCTAAATGATGCCAAAGCTGTATAGAACGAAAGTGTAAACCTTAAAAGTTACTTTTTCTGTATTAGCTAGTTGCTCAAATTCTGAATGAATTGATGAACCAGTAGAGATTTAGCATATTTGAGAATAGGAACCATGAACACAGATTTGTATTGTTACATTTGATAAAGAAAGTCAAAAATAAACTTCCTTATAACACCATAACATTGTTAAAAATGAAGATGGTTGACCAAACATTATTTATAAGGTTGAAATGTCTCAGAATATACTTCTAAAACAATCGAACCATGCAACAAAGATTGGACACCATTTGCTCAGATTTATTTCTATTGACATACGTGTCTTTTAGCCTGCTGTTGGTATACTTTGAGATAAAATTTATTAAATACAGCAAGGTTAAATAAGATGTTTCATTGAATTTTCTTACAATTGTATAAAAAATAGTAAAATGTTTTCCTAAAGAAAAATTATCACTAGCTAACCATGCATTACAAGATAAGGGGATGTTTTTCACAAATGACCAAATTTTAAATTGTAATTTTTACATGTGTAAAAAAAAAAAAATCCAAAATATATAATTAAGACAACCAGATTTTATACTTTAAATTATCTAGAATGTAACAAGTATTTTATTAATTGAATACATAATTCAGTAACGTTCCCAGAATGACTACCAGTAGCACAATATTGTTACATTTCTCTAACTGATGCTGTTACTGAAATTTTTAGAAAATGAACTCATTTTTCATTTATTTAAAATATATTTATTCACTCACATTCATACTTATCAAACTGAATAATTTTGGTAATTAAATATATTTCTAAGGCTGTAATAATTACTCAAGATTGAACAATTTATGGCATCAGTTGTTCCTAAATGAGAACTTTTGCCACTAAACAATTCACTTTAAAGAAAAAAACTAATTTCTCTCTCTTTATTGAAGTTTTTAAAGAAAAATCATTGGTCTATCTAAAATAAACTGACAGTTAATCATCTCTGGAGGAGGATGTCAATGATGTCCACTGCGTGTTTTTCCTCCTCAACATGGAATTAGAGAACTAAGAAAAATATATAAACGTTCTCTCTGTGTTATTTTTTAATACTAAGGATGATTAACTTATCATTTATTTTGATTGGCCTCACAAAAAACAACATACCAAATAGCCACAATAAGATACAGGCTTAACTAACTGTACAACAACACACAGTAATAATAATGATCAAGACCTTTTCTCTTCTAACAAGTTCTATTTAAACCCAATGCAAGCACTTAGCTGTCATGAACTAAATTGTATAAAACACTATCTATAACACTGGATAAAAGACAATCTATACTGAAATATTCCAGATTTATAATATATTACTACATGTATTTATTTTCCAAGGTGGAAGAATTCTGTAATCATATTATCCAAATATCAGAACATGTGTTAGTGTATTTATTAACACTTAAACCTATGCTTTGAATACGGAGAAAGATATCTATTGAAACTAAACCTTGAAAACAGTATAGGTAATATGAAGTATGTGATTACAGACACATGAACTGTCAAACTTAGATTTGCCAACATAACGGAACTCTTGTTTAAAATGCTCTACAAACAAGATTCTTGGTAAGCAGTTTTCACAATCAAAACATTTACAGGAAATAGAAAAATAAGTAACTTAACTTTTCCTAGTTAAACGAGCACCATTTTGTGGGAAAGAAACGGAAAATTGAACTCGTTAAGTATATCGAAAACTGTTTAACTTGTGTACTTTTTTGTGCCACTATTCACCGTTAGGTTTCACCTTTATTAACAGAACTAACAAATAAAAAAGTAGTTACATGAATCTAATAAAAAGAAACACATTCCTGATAACATTAAACACTTGAAACTGTATATCTATCTTTCACTGCTCGTGTAGTCAGTAGTGTTTCAACTTAGGTTACTATTCTTAGTAAAGCATGTCTTTCATTACCATTTAAAATACTCTTAGAATGGTGTACGCTATCGGTAGAAATATTAATGTTTGTACAGTATAATAAAATTTGAGGTATTTCTTACAAACACTCGCTTCCAGCTGAGAAACTTTAGACAATTAACTACACACTCCACCCTTTACATAATAGTGTAACCTAACATACAAAGTTGTCACTCTGAGGACTACATTTCTGAGTAAATTCACTTAGTATCGTTGTCATAAAATGTCAACCTGCATAGAAATAATGTCACAAACGCTGTGGAGTCAAAGGTTTAACATATCCACTCCATTGTTATAAAGTGTATAATACATGAGCAACTATGAGTTCAAAAGAAGCATAAAATATTAAGCTTGTTTCATCTTTCTCGTAGATGCAGTATTAATAGACGTGTACGAGTTTCTAATGAACATACAAATCATATTTATATACGTACGGTGGAAATAATACACCCTGTTAATGAATTTTTCTAGTGTCAGCAGTTTAAAGTACAACTTTGAATTTGTCCACATAATGATTCTTATGTATGTGATAATTTCAAACATTTGCACATGACTGCAGGTCAGGATGCATACTGAAAAAGAGCCTTGATGTATAGTTCTAGAATTTTCACCGATCTTGACTCAGTTTCGTACACCCACCCTTTCATAACTTTTGGACTTTTTCTCCAACTACAATAGGGTTATTTTTTCTGATTTCCTCAGCACCCATCATTTTATAGTCAAACGTACAACTGTGTTCATCTGAATATCTGTGTACACTGCAGAAAAGTCCACCACATCGACAATAGAAACCTTCAAATAAAAAAAAAATGAAGTTGTTAATATCTCAGTTTCCAGCTTACACAAAAATTTCATACTTTCCTGTAAGGACAATCAAATAACAGCTTTGTTTTATAAGTTTGAGAATGCTTTAATCAATTTTTGTTACCTTGTATTTATTACATGAAAATGGAGCCACAAGTCCAAGTTGTAACTCATTATCAGCACGACCATCGTGGTTTACTAATTAACGAGAAAAGACACGGCTTACGAAGTTTGACACGAGAACCAACCTGTAAGTCCAACCTTCTTACGACACATCTGACACCTATTTCTCTTCTTCTTTTCTTTAAAAGAAGTTTCACGGTGTTGGCTCGAAACATCTGATTCAAGATTACTAGTGGAAGAAGGTAATGCCGAACAGCTCTCACTGCCTTTGTCCTGGATGTTAGGGGGCTGCAAGAAAACATACTGTAAAACCTTTCATCATTCTGTACAGATTTACAGAAATATTATTTCCCAGAAATAAATCAGAGAAAAAGATTTTCTTGTATATGCAATGTATACATTTATATAACTACCATAAATATACGAGTGTGCTAGCAAAACAGTGTTTATACAGAAGTAAGTGAACGTCAGTCAGAATGGAATAGCTCTAAGCAAGTTTAGTCTTGTTTTGGGGACACTTTATCAACACCAAAATAAAATTCTGGGAGGTTTATTGCATTTTACAAAACAAGAAATTGGACCCTAAATATATGAGTAATTGGCTTAACAGATTTTACATTGTTCAAAGTTCCCAACATACTATGTTAATATTTGTTTGATTTTAGGGTTAAAAAAATATTAGTAAAATAACTTCTGTTTAGTATGGATTTTCTTTTCCATCTACAATAAATAAAATTTTAAGTCTAAATTAATATAGGTGCTAAAAAGAAATAACTACTTTGAATAAGAGATAGTGATATACAGGTTTAACTCTTTTAAACCCACAATTTTTTTGTACGTTCTGCCAGAATTATTTTCATGATGTCCTAATAATTATAAATTTTCCGATCTACTTATAAAAGGTGGATAATAACTTGGATTGGATTAATTTTCAGCCAATGAGACATAAATGTTATTGGATGGTGTCACCATATGATAGGTAAATTGGGATTATTGGCATGCTTGCAGCATCCGCTCGGGTGTAAAAAAAATAAGTGTTAAAACATGTAATTTGCAGCATCCTTTCGGGTGTAAAAAAATAAGTGTTAAAACGTAATTTTCAGCATCCTTTCGGGTGTAAAAAAATAAGTGTTAAAACACGTAATTTGCAGCATCCTTTCAGGGTAAGAATGGTTTCGAACATGTTCATGACATTTAGAACACCACATTCAAGTATTATGACTTGTTGGTTGATTAATCGTATCTAAGTCTGAAAGTGGTTACAATGAGAAGAACAAAATATCTTGTTCTTACTATTGCTTCTGTTCACAATTCTCTTTTAATTGGATTCTGATGTTTTTAGATGCCCTATCTTTCTGACCATTTCAACAGATACACCATTGTTTGTGCACACATAAAATTGTCATTA